GAAGAGCAAACAAAAGCATCATGTCCTCGACAGAAGAGACTACAGCAAATACAGCCACTTCTCCTGCATCAATAATCCCCACTTAATAATCAGGAGATTAACTGATATCAGGTGTGCAGATGATGGTGGCCAGAAACAAATAAGGATGGTGGGTAGGGTGGGGCGAAAAAGCAGAGGGTCCCCTTAGCCGCAGCCCCTCCTTCATTCCCTGCAAACATAAAACTAATTACAATTGATTTATTATGGATCAGGTACCTTATCAGGTAAGAGAGGGAATTACCATTCTGAGCCAAAGGTTTGCGGCAGGTCACTGCTGAATGAGAAAATCAATCTAAGCTGAGTGTGTCACATCCCAAGGAGAACACAGCTAAAACACTTTCTTTTAAAAAGGCTGAAAATCATGTTATTTTTACATGACATTACTCAGTAAATATGAACGGATCACCAGATCTTGCCAGGGAGAAGAGTGTACACTGTAAAGTGAAATTTTCTTTGGCAACATATTGTATTTTATAAAAGAGAAGAAACATTGCCCGATGCTTTCCTCTGAGGAAACATTTTCTTTGTTTCCACCTTGTTTTTCTGTGGCTAGTGTCGGGTCAACCAATCGTCGAGCCCTCTCGGGTCTCCAACACTTTTTTTTCACCCTGAGCAACTTTGAAAACTTCATCAATATGTTAATGACTTAATCTTTAAACACTTAAAGAAACCGTTAATAAACATTGATTTGAACACTTGCCACCATTAAGTCACATTAATCCAGTGCAAATAGCTGATACACAAACTGCAACACAGGGCAATTTGTGCAGGATTACTAAAAAAGAAAAATTATGTGAAAGACACTGATCATTGTTTCAGTAGCAGGAATGAAATGAGGCAGTTTGTCAAAAGATGACTAAGTCTTCACTTTTTCTGATGATTTCAGCAAGTTTAAAAGGAAGATACTCTCTAAAAGAGAGAACAAATTATTCAAAAATCGAGTGTCATCCTCAACAAGACCACCTACAGTCACAATATTAACAGGTCTGCATTTGGCTTTTAAAGCAAAATGAATAAAACAGATGTTTAGCGCTGTGAACTACATTTTACACTTTCAGACGTGAACACATAGGGAAAGATATTCACTAAGCAGTCTGTTAGCATCTTGATGGTCGCAATGAGAGAGCATCTTCACAAACTCATCCTGGATATTGGTTCTGACACTCACTAGCCCTCCCGGCCACCCTTCTTCTGTTTAGTGTACAGTCTCAGACTGCTGGATGTGGTGTGACGCCCTCCATGTATGGTAAGGAGCTTTCTTGTCTTGATGCCAGTGGCGTCTGTCTCCTCCTTTAGCCAGCTTATTATCCCAGCAGGGTACCTGATGACAGGCAGGGGATAGGTGCTGAATTCCTAGATCCTGTTCTTCCCATTCAGCTGACTCCTCAGGACTTACTCTCTACAGGGATTTGATGGTTGCAGTTTTCCTAGTGGCCTCTTCATGGTTCTCATTTCAATCCTGTACTTAACGGTGACTTGTGCTGTTGGTTTGACGTTGGTCACTAGTGTTGTTTTCTATTTCCAATGAATTCCTGATTCAAGATTCAAGATTCAAGATCCTTTTATTTGTCACGTACATAGTTATACAAGTATAACATGCAGTGAAATGTGACCTGATACGCTCCTCGACTGTGCAAAATAGAGAGAGAAAACCCCCATTATACAGTAAGTAAGTAGATATATACAAAGAGGACATTATGTGCAATAAGTGAGTGGATTATATGCACTAAGTTAAATAGAATAAAACAACCTGGAAATTCACAGTTCAAAAATCTGGGAATGTACATTGTGTGAGTGGGGTGTTAAAGTGACTTAAAGTGCCCCAATGAAGTCAGAAGGATCAGGCATGATATGGGAATATGTGAGTCCTGACTCAGTTTGTGCTTGAGGGTAGAAGCTCCTCTTGAGGGTCTCTGTTCTTGCCCGGATGGTGCAGAACCTTCTGCCTGATTGCAGAAGTTGGAACAGTTTATTGCTGCGGTGGAACAGGTTCTTCGGTATCTGAGTGGCTCTGGTCCAGTGTCTTCTGGTGTAAATGTCCTGTAGGGAGGGAGGAGCAGTCCTGCAGCAGCGTTCTGCTGTATGGATCACTCTCTGAAGAGTTTGTTTGTACTTGACACAGCTGTTCCCATACAGGACTTGATGTTCTGTGTGAGGATGCTCTCTACAGTAACTGTATAGAAAGTCCTGAGGATGCCTGGAGAGGCCCTGAACTTCCTCAGTTGTCGTAGGTGGTGCAGGCTCCGAATAGCCTTTTTGAACTGTATCTGAATGTGAGCAGACCATGTCAGATCTGAGGAGATGTGGACACCAAGGTACATGAAGGACTGCACCCTCTCCACTGGAGCTCTGCTGATGATAATGGGCTTGTAGTTCCTGTGCTGACTCCTTGTGAAGTCCACCACCAGCTCCTTGGTCTTGCCGACGTTCAGCTGGAGGTGGTTGTCCTGGCACCACGTTGCCAGATGAAGGCTCTTGGGGACCTATTGGGTTTGTACAGTTCTAGGCACTCCAGGATCCATGTGTGAGGCACTGTGAGTCATAGGCTTTGTTGTAGTTAATCCAGGTAGTGCAGGTTGGTTAGTCTGGTCTTACAGTCTTGAGGGATGGATCAAGACTGGAGATAATAAAGAATAGTCGTGGTGGACAAGCAGAGGAAGATGTAGCTATACATCCTTCCTTCATCACAAGGAAGGAAAATGAGAAACTTTAGAAATACCAAGGGCTGAAAGCTTGAGAAGATGTGGAGGGTGAAGGCAACAGTGCTCCCCCACCCAGGTAATCGAAGCACTGCCCCAAGTGCTTCGATTACCTGGGTGAGTAGCTCCAGCTACTCCCAGGATTAACATCAAGATCGCTGTCCAGTAGAGCGCCGTCCTGCAGCAACAGTGCTAACCACTGTGCCACCATGCTGAGTTCAGTTCTCTTCTGTTTAATTTTATTTATATTGTGAGGTAAAGACTCTAGAAGTATCAAACGCTTGTGGGAAAAAGTTCTTTAATTTTAACTTTATGGAGTTTACTTTGTGACTTTTTAAAATATGTGTGTTTCAAACATTTGTACCTCTTTTCTGTTCTGTGGCTTCTCCCACTCAGTAACCTGGCCAAGAGGACTCAAGCTTGAAGGGTAAAGACCGTCCACAGGGCGAGTGGGGAAAACAAGTGTGTGACTGGGACTTTCTTTCAGTTTTGTGTAGCTCATATTTTCTACAGCTGACCAGTTTCATGTAAGATTTACAGAAATTATAGGTGATCATTTATTTATTTATTTTTAACCCGTTGTGTCCAGTAGTTTTAGCAAGCAGACTCATGGTCTGAATGCTAATGCTATAGACTCTCTATAGGTCCCTCTTTTTTCTTTATACATCTATTTTATATAATTATTTAAATTATTTTCTGTGTAGTTTTTTTTTCTTTTAGCCTGGAGAAATAGTTTGTTGCTTTATTTATTTTTTATTTTTTTGTAGTGATATAAAGCCAGAGCTGACAGGTGGTAAAAAAAGAGAAGAAGGAGGAGGAAAAGAAAAGGGACAGAAAGTGAGATACAAAAAAGGTGGGGAAGTGAAAAAAATAACAAAGCACACATAAGCACACTAGGTCTTCAACTGCTGCATCTTTAATGAAACACACTAAAAAAATAAATAGCACCTCAAAGACAAAAAATAACTAACCAGAAAACAAAACAAAACAAAAAACAGAAGTACCCCAGAGACCCAGAGGCCACGGGCCGCTGACCCCACCAGATGCCGGCCATCCCAGGACGAGCTGAGGTATTAAAATCTAACGTAAATATGTTTAACATGTTTTGATGGATTTATTTACTTTGTCCTCGTCTTTTGGCTGCTCACTTTAGGTCACTAGAGCGGCTTATCTGCCTCCATCTCACCCTATCCCTAGAATCCTTCTCTGTCACACCAACCTTCTCCATGTCCTTCTTCACGCCATTCATGAATTTCCTCTGTGGTCTTCCTCGTTTCCTTTTGTCTGGCAGCTCCATATTTACCGTAACAACTGTCCTTTCTCTGCTTATTTCCAAACTATCTCAACCTTGCCTCTCTAGCTTTTTCTAAAATTTATGATATTCTTGTTTAACACATGCTGGATTATGATCTCAAAGACCTTCACAAGTGCTTGAGGCCAGATTTATTCCTTGCCTTCCATTTTATGCCCGGACATGTCAGGGCAGCTGTCCACTTGCACACAGATGGTACAAACTAAAGATCCTAATGATCTAAATACATTAATTTTGAACACTTTTACTAGAAGATGTTTTATTGAGATATCAAGATGAATGGTGAAAGTAAATAAAAATAGAAGTAAGAATGAGGGCTGTTGAGTGTCCTTGTTTACAATTATTGTGCATTTTAGATTATAGTATCAGTAGTTTCAGGTATTACCATCAACCCACGTGTGTCAGGGCTCTGTGTGCAGGCAGATGGAGAGGAGGATCCAAATGCAAGGCTCGGACACTGAATACAACTCAAAACCTCAGCTTTATTGCTGGCACGAAAACAAAACATGAAGCGAACACTCAATACTGAGAACAGAAACACACAGGCATAATCTGATGGTACGACGAGACGCCGAGCACAGGAAAACACAGGGCTAATATACACAGGGTGGTAATCAGGGAATGGGCAACAGGAGGGAGACACAGCTGGGAGGGATTGGACTCACGAGACGGGGAGCAAAGCTACACACACTAACATAAGATGTAGACTTTCACAATAAAACAGGAAATATGATTCACTAAACAAAGACGCAGACACAACACTGAGAGACAGACTAGACACTAAACTAAACCTGCAATAAACATAAGAACACAACCAAGGAGCAAATCCTAAAACATGAACAGAAACCTATAATTCTCATAATGGTCAACGATTAAAAGAATCAAAATAACAAAATTAAACCAAGACACGAGAAACTCAAAACACTGATTCAAAACTGACCCAGAACCGTGACAACGTGACCCTGAACTGTAAAGTTGGTTAAGAAAATGATTAATAACAGCAACATAATTTTATGTTGTTTTTAAAACAGGATGGAGGCATTTTTTAGGTCAGCTAAAACAAAATCCTAATATCACCTTTTTTCGCCCAATAACAAAACCTTAATTTTAGGTTATATTTTTGGCGATGGCCATAAATTTAGACTAAAAAATCAGAGGCTTCAGCACTTTTCTGTCAGTTAAAGAAACAAAAATATCCCTTCTACAGGTTGATCATTTACAAAAGTGATGTAGATGAAACTATCATCTACCAGACCCACTTTATAAAATTCTGCACATACAGTCTAGTTCAGATATATAACGCAAACAGTATCTCAAATTTTTTATTTGTCCAGAGCTTCGACTTTGACGGGTTTTCTGCTCTGTGCTAAGAAATTGCTCAACAAACGTACACTTTTTTTAAATTATAGAATCAGATTTACAGTGAATGGCATTTAATGTCATGTCTCACTGCTGTATAATTTATTAAAAATATATTATTTTAGCCCTAATTTCAAAGACAATAACAAAATCTTGATATATTGTGAAAGACTGTAACTTTTGATTTATTTATTTATTTTTAATTTAAATCTTATTTTGTAGCGCAGTAATAGTCTTGTACAACACAACACTGAGGAAGAGATATTTCATGGAACAACACAGGAATGGCAATGGGCCAAGAGATTTGGTCCCTTGAACTGCAAACCCTGAGGAAGAAACCCAAAGGCCAGAAAACAGTTGGCTGATATTTATTTCTTTTCTGCAGAGGTGCTGATTTTTTCCCCAAAGAACGTAGTACTTATCTGAGTGGACAAAGCCTCCATAAGCAAATAAGATTAAGATCACAATCTGGCCAAGTGCTACATTAAAAAGATAAGGCTAATGAGAACAGCTATGTCTCGTTGTCTGCTGAACAAAAGAAGAGCCTTTTTTTTTTTTGCTATTATAGATTATTAATATATAATAATATCTGATATTATAGCTATGAAAATGTTTTATTATTCACAATTTGATTTGTTACATTTGAAATAAAAAAGGATACATGATTCCAAAGATTTGGAGCAATTATTATATTTACACAGATTATCCCAAAAGGCTTTTATTTCACCGCTTAAATAAATATGTGAGGGATAACAGCTTTCGCACAAAGCTACAATCTCTCAGAAGCCCCACAGATACTGCCCTAAAGCGCGTGTCGTGTTGTTATAGTACATTTTTTCCTGTTTGCTTTAGATAACAAATCTTTCGTTGACCCCGAGGGTTAGGAGAGCATTACAAATTAATCCCAGTTTTAATAAGTCTGTCTTAAGCCTGGGATCTTTGCTCGAAAAGAAAGAAAGAAAGAAAAAGGGGGAGGGAGAGAAGAAAGGGATCCGAGAGGAAAAGAAATATATTAAACCCTGTGATCACAGGCAGCTTTTCTTGTTTGTTATCCCTCCGTTTTACCTTTAATCCAATACTTGCTAATCCAATTTGTCTTTTGGGCTCCAACCCTAACTTCTCCTTATCTTACAGCTTTCTCTTAAATATGCCGGAGCCTCCAGAGTCAGTGGCTGCTCTTCATTTCCCAGTGTTGCTGGAGCAAACTGGATTCTCTGATGTATGTGAAAAGAAAGTTTGGGGAAAAAGGGAAAAAAAGGAAATTGTTGCATGTTAACTGCTCATAACGATGAACATAAAACATAAGAGGCTGCTATAGACAAGTTGTAGCTTCAGCCTGAATATGCATGAAGAGCCGTAATCAGATCTTGGGCATTCACTCACTGAAGGGGAATATTGGGCAATACAAAGGGATTGATTTAATTACTTGGAGTGGGCCTGTGCTTTGGAGCTGCCTTGTTAGGAGGGAATGAAAAGGCTGGCAGTATCCTTGTGCTATTTTTGAGGGGGGGGTGGAGAGGTTGAAGAAGGGTGGAGGGGGTGAAGTTGCAGATGGTGGGGGTACAGAGGTAGTCTAGCTTCTTAAGTCACCAAAGTAATCCCAGTATGAAGCTCTCCCAATTGAAAGGACCTGCATTGATTGCAAAAAATGAACATGGTGCATTCTGTGTTTAATGTCCTCTGGTTTAATCACCTTCTTTCTGGGGTAAATTGCAGTGTATCATACACACATTTGTCCTTGTGTTGAAAGCTTTCAAATTTATTGTCTTTTCACCCGAACGCTGCTAAAGCTGACAAAGGATTGTGATAAACGAATTCTGACTTACTGGCTTTGATGTATCTTAACAACAAATTTATTCTTTAAATTTGTTACTTTTTTCTGGCTGTTGAACTTGTTCCGTTGCAATTATCACGAATAGTGTAGCAAGACAATGAATTTTATTGGATGACTGTCTTTAACTGTTAAAATCACTTGAAGACGCACATCAACTTCCCACCCACATAAACTTATATAAAGTAAACTGATTTCACATATGTACTAATTTTTTCTTCAAGTTTCTTCTCTTTGCTGCTCCCCTTTCAGGCAGTTGTCTTTGCCCGAAGATGACGACAGATTCAAGGGTCTTTAGAGGAAAACAAAGCACTTAAGATATTTTGAAGGGGGAGTAGATGCGAGACTCCAATGCAGAGCTCACCTGATAGATCCCTGAGAGGTGTATTCATCAAAAGGTCCTCTTTCTACCACATAGACTCACACAATAAGCCAGTCAAAGTGGATTCTAGTGCCTTTGCGCTCAACAGGCAGCGGTGACAACGAAGCCCTTAATCATCTCGTGACAAAAGCCAAAAGGCATCATCCCATTAAGCAGTGTGCTCTGCCGCTAATATGAGCTACTGCCCAGGAACCTTTCATAGGGCGTTCAGCTATTAAAGTGCTTCTGAACCAGCCAGCAGGAACCTAGACGGATTCACCTTTCATCTAGCAGCCTGTTGTTTGGTGGCTATAGTGAAGGCGAGCTCAAGATGTTAGTGATCTCATTACAGCGGTTGTGAGAAACAGCCTCCAAATTTGAGCATCTCTCTTCCTATTCTCTCCCATCCCTTTCAGTCTTTCCAACTCGTGATTCTTCCTGCGTCAAAGGCTTTGCCCTATCTTGGCCATAAATTGATTATTACTTCAGGTTCACAAATTTGCCATTTTCCCTGAAAAGTTTACTCATCCATACCCCCTGCAGCACTCTCTTTCTTATCCTTTCTTTTTGGGGAGGTACATTGAATGGGCGGCCAGGTTGAAAAGCAAGGAGGCCCCTAGCGTCACAAAAAACGTTCAGATTTCTCATTTAGTTGTCTTTATGCTGCAAGCGCCATGTGGTCCTTGAAGGTGTTGAAAACATGGGAAGCACTGGAGGGATCAGAGCAATCTCATTAGCATTCGCTCAGAATTGGAGTGGCCCGGCTGTATGGCAAGACCAAGTTCCCTGTTAGGCTCGAGACGGCTGTCTCAACTGCTGTACCCTCCTCCTCTTTGTGCCTTTGTGTTCTTTCAAGATTTTTTTTTTTTTGGTTATGTCCGGCTGCTTTTCTAGGTGGGATGTTGCAAATAGGATCATGGGAAAATGGATTGATCAAAATAAAAGTGAAATTACACAATGAAACACGGTGAAGTCATATTATTGTCCTATCTCCAAATGGAAAAGTACTGGGAGCTTTGAGGAAGACTCCAGCAATAAATCTGGTTAAAGCAAATAGACATTCAGTACCCAAAGTGAACTCAGTGGGTCAGAAGAAAGCTTTGATTATTTTGGATTTGTATACATTTAAATATAAGCCTATTTTATTCCAGGTTAGTGTTAAATATATGACTTTGTGTCTCAGACTTTATGCATATAAATAAAGTCAACTGTGTTAACCTCGAACATTAACTCAAAATAGTATGATTACATACCCTTTGGGACACACTGATTTCCTCTTGGTTTTCCATAGTGTCATCATTGCTGTGACACTACCAACACTGAATTGTGTCAGGCTATGAAGCTTAGGTAGCTGCAGAGATGTAGTGATATGGAAATTCAAATAGCAAATAAAATGAAACGGTATTTGTTATATTAAAAAATAAAATAATAATG